TCTATATATACATGGTATAAACGATTTGAATTACTTGAAGACCCTTTTTCGGCTGACACTTTTTTGCGACTTTCAAAAAATTTTTCAGCGGTAACACTGTGTTAGACAACGAATTATCCTTATCAAGCTTATTAACAATGTCGGCCGCTGTGGTGCTGTGGTAAGCAGTGCGCGCTTCCACTCCGCAATGCCTGGGTTCAAGCCCTAGTCAAAGCAACATCGCAAAAAAATATAGAAAAAGGTTTTTTCTTAACAGCGGTCGTCCCTCGGCAGGCAATGGCAAACCTCCGAGTGTATTTCTGCCATGAAAAACAGCTTCTCATAAAAATACAATCGCCGTTCGGAGTCGGCGTAAAACTGTAGGTCCCTCCGCTTTGTGTGACAACATCAAGGCGCACGCCACAAATCGGAGGAGAAGCTCGGCCAAACACTAACAAATGTGTAAGCGCCAATCTATTATTATTATTATTATTATTAAGCTTATTAATTGTATGGTGAGATCTCTAAAAAAAAAATAAATTAAACGTGTTATGTGTACTTTCCATTTTTCAGTCATAACATGGATGAAGTTAACAAATGCAAATTCATTTTAACTAAACTGCTGTGGAACAAAGAACAAATAGGAGACATTCTTAAACATCCAAAATGCTTGTTGTGGTGGCTACAATGCTATTTGGCAAACACCAACGATATTTTCATCGGACTGAAAGATGCGGACGGTGTTGTGCGGGTTCCGGCACAGATTCAGAAAGTAAAAGATATGCCAAAGGTAAAATAGCAAAACCAATTAAAAAATGCAATTACTAAATTAAAATATGTTTTCTTATATTTTTTAGAATCAGCATTGGAAACCGCACATTTGTATACGATTTTTACATACCCTTTTAGTTAAGATGGAAGAAGTAATGGCCAGCGTGAATTGTCCCTACACGGTCTACAAATTTGTGTATGACTCTTATTCAAGATGTATAAAATTCAAAATTTACAAAGGAAAGTCGGAATACTCTTTCTTATCGGAAAAATATATAAAACATTGCAAGGAAAAAACGAAGCACGAATAATTTTGTTTAAAAACTTCAAAGTTAATTTTTACAATGCATTTTAACATGTTATTACTAATCTAGTTAATGAGTAAACAACGTTTATTCATATACGCAACAATCTCATTATAAATTTCATAATATACTCTATACATAGTTAAATGTTAATTAATATAGATACATATTTACATACGTATAAGACTGTGTCAAATAAGGACTAATGTTTTTTTTTTCTTTTGGTCCCATATCATAACTTCGTTGTCGGTGCAGAAAAATTTCAGTTAGCGCTCGCAAACATAACTATTTTTAATGAAAAATACTTTTGCGCTACTTTTTTTAGTAAAAATTAAATATAACAAAACAAACCTGTAGCCCATTCAATTCGGGTATAATAAGTGCAAGTTTGAAGTAGCTAGGACTTACTGTTGAGCTTTAGCTTTTTTTGTTGACAGTGTCAGTTATTTTCTTCCATACAAAGTGGGTTTATAAAAAAAAAATGAAACCTTCAACAAAAAAATGCCAAAAATTTGCAGTTAATCCTGGTTTCTTCAAGTTTATTTTATTATACTTAAGTTTAATTGGCTACAAGGGTGTTTTTCTTTATTTCTTATAGTTAATTGTTTATTAAAAAAAGTAGTGAAAAAAATTGTTTTCTTAAAAAATTCTAACTTTGCGAGCGCTATCTGAAAAATTAAGAATAGAGGCTGAAATTTTGCCACGACAATTTTTTGTGCCCGACAGCGAAATTCCATATGGGACCGAAAGAAAAAAATAGTCTGTAATGTACACATATGTATGTCTGTATGTAAGCATGCATAAATATGTATTGTCCTTAAACTCTATTTATATACGTATGTGGGTACTTTCACATAATTATCTTATTTTGAAAAAAATAAAAATAAAATAAAAAGGTTTACTGAACGCAAAGCCATAGATACATGAGCAATTTTCAATTAGTTCGAACTATCTCATGACTCGATAGTTAGTTAGGACACATAATTTTCGCTCCTTTATTAACAAAAATCTGGTAATATATCTTGTGTAGGTTATGTAAGTAACAAAACAGAACTACACAAATAAAAGCGTGACTCTCCTATTATTTTTTCTATTTTACGTTGCAAAATTTGGTGCGTTGATTGCTCATGTTTGAGCTTAAAATCAGCTGCAATCCGTTAGAAGTAGGTGCTTGCAATGGAAAAGATGTTATGAAGAGTACAAAGTGGCGTGACTCCTTTGGTTTGAAATTCTGATAATCGTGGCTTTTATAGTACACTGTGGCTGGTGCGTACCTAAAACTGTTTTCGGACAGCTTGTATAGTGTATTCGTTACCGAGTAAGGGATACAACCCCTGACCCGAAATACCGAAACGTTAATCACAAATAATCTCGGTATTCGCATTTGATGTACATATGTATATCGTTACTATATCGATAGCTGAGTGGAAGATCGACCTATCTCGACAGCCAGTTAGAAAACGCCCTAACTCAGAAATTTTTTCTTGACAGTTTCAATACCAATCCCTTGTTAAACTCACATACAAAATGCTACCGAAATTATCCTTCAGCTGCCCTTCAAGGTAATAATTTGTAAAGGGCACAGAGTTTATACTTGCATTAAAAGCCCTGGACTTCAAAACTACATCTAGGTCTGATGACAACGGCAAAACTCTACTCAACTAGTAAAGCACGCATATTTGGTCCTTCTGAAAGAGAATTTAACTAAATAACTTAAGAACTTAGCTCAATAAAGATATGTTCCAACTCATTTTCGTTGTTGGTGTTTCCGATACGACGCGCGATTTGTCCAAAACTAAATTTAAAAGGGATTACGGAAAATCTTGCCACAATTGACATATGTTCCAGCATTATACAAAATTTTACAGAAGACTCAGAAAATTTGTTTATTAACTATACTATATTTTTTGCATATTGGTAACTATTACAGCTATGGGCAATGTGTATTTGTAAAATACTTGGATGCACGTTTCGGTACACAAAAAATGATTATCATATTGTGCGGGAAAGAAACAGTTCTCAGCAGGGCCGGATCCAGAAAATAAATTGCCGCTCATTTCGTGGCCTCGGCCTTACGGACACACCTCACAGAAAATTTCTGCCCAAAATACTTCTCTCTCTACTTTCAGTGCCAGATCATGATGTCATACGATCCATTAGCTTCGTATGCCTACAACGGAAGCATTCAGTAACACCACGAACATACGCATAAAGATAGCCGCTGATAAGGCAAGTCCAAAGTCTAGTCATTCTAACAAAAGCCCGTTATTTTCAGAATCAAAAATTGTCGAAAAAAAAAATTAAAAACACGATTATTTTTGATAAAAGAAAATAAAAATCACAAAATTACGATTAAATTTGACCGAAAAACAACCAAATTGAACGATTATTCTTAATGGAAAAATAATGATTTTGCAATGATTTATAAATAAAAATCTTGCTATTTAACGGTGTTGTCATTCTGGTAGAAAAACAAAAAAATGTGGTTAACCTCACAGCAATAGAACTGTATAAGTATTTATACTTATTACCTTAATAAAGAAAGGCCCTAACTAATATAGTAGCTGTAATGCAAA